AAAATTTTGAAAAATCGTAAAATTTATTGTTGGTGAGGATTCCATTAAATGGACACTCATATGCTGGTGGGAATGTGGACTGACAGAACCTTCAAGAAACAATGAATGATATAGATCAAGACTTAAAAAATTCCTGTTCCTTAACCCAATTTTTCTTTTCTTAAATTCCGTCCTAAAAAAATCACTTTGAAATGTGGCCTAAGATTTATGTGCAAAAATATCAATCACAATGTTATTTATAATTGGAAATAATATCACCTGAAAAAGCTCAATAATAGGGAATGCTTGGTAAAAGTGATATATTTCCACATCATATTATGAAGCAACACACAAAAATAGGTTAGGAATGATGTCTGTTGCGGGAAACAACTTATCATAAAATATTGACTGAAAAAGTAAGTCTCAAAGTTCAGCGTGACCTCAACTGTGTAAAAAGTATACACACAACGTAGGCTTCAGGCTAAGATGGAAGAACTGGGGTCAGATTCATCTTCCCATCTAAAAAAAAGAACGAGAGATAAAATACATAAACCAGTGTTGATGGACATGAGGCAGTGAAGGACAGTGATTCCTGAGAGAGAAGCCCTTAAATTGCCCCAGCTCATTGTCTTAGAGAATTTCTAGATAGCCATGCAGGGACAATGAATCCACTTGCAGTCCAGCAGACTCCCCGAGTTAAAGAAACAGTTGGAAGACAGAGCTGAAGGTCTGGAGAAACCAAGATGCAGAGCATTTATAGGACAGAGTACCAGAAAGAGAGCTGCACAGAAGGAGAACTCTGGAGATCTTCAGGGATTACCCTCAGGTATTTAGCTAGATAAGCAAGTGTGTTTATTGGGAAATTAGCCAAAGCCAGGGAAAGACCAGCTGAAGGAAACGGAGGGAAGAATATCTGAAATACGCACAGGACTGGAGGTAGTACTTGGTTCTGAAAGACAGACTGGAAAACCTCATGACTCATGGGACATTGGATAAAGTACACAGAAGGATTTTGCCTCAGTAGTGAGGAAAAAAGTCATCCTTTGATATTCATAGAGGATAGGGTACAAGAACTCTTGTGGATACCAAAATCTGTGGAGACCCAAGTCCTTCATAAAAAATATTGCCATAGTTGCATATAACCTATGCACATTATCCTGTATACTGTAAATTACTTATAATACCTACAAGTATAAATGCTATGTAAATAGTTGTTAGACTGTATTGTTTAGGGACTAATGACAAGGAGAAACGTCGGTTCATATTCGGCACAGATGCAATTTTTAAAAATATATTTGATCAACAGTGGTTGACTTCCTGCATGTAGAACCCATGAATACAAAGAGCTGACTGTTCTTAGCTCTAGCCTGAGCATTAGCTGTAGACCAGGGCTTTGGTCCTGCCAGGCAAATATTAAAAGCAAGACCTGGAATGATAAAATGATAAAACAACTTCCAGTAAATTAGCTGCATTCCAAGTCAAAGCCTCAGAATATTTATTGGAACACAAAAATATTCAGCAAGCAGTCAATGAGGTAAAAGTCACAATGTGTAGAATCCAAGAAGAAATTATTAGTCATGCAAAGAAACAAGAAAGTACTACCGACAATGAATTAATTCATTAAATCAAAATCAGAACTGAATTAGATGTTAGAATTATCAGGCAAGAACATCAAAGAGCTATTCTAACTATATGTCACGTGTTCAAAAATTAAGTAATGACACAGAAGCTAAAAGAAAGACCCAAATCGAACCTCTAGAGATGAAATCTACAATATGTAAAAGATAAACATATTGGATTGAATTAAGGAAAATTAGATGTGGCAGAAGAAAAGATAAGGTTGAAAATACAGAAACAGAACATTTCCAACATGAAACACACAGAAGAGATTTAAGAAGAAGAGAGCCGTAGTGAACTATGGGACAACTTCAAGCAGCCTAGTACATATGATTTGAGCCACTGAAGAGGAGAGAGAGGTAGGAACAGAAAAAATATTTGAGGAAATAAAAGTTTGAATCTCTGAAATGCGATAAAAATGATAGCGATACAGGAAACCATGTGCATAAGAAAAATGAAAAAAATGACTCCAAGGAAAATAATTAAACTTCTCAAAACCAACTGGGTGCGGGGGCTTACACCTATAATCCCAGAATTTTGGGAGGATGAGGTGGGTGGATTGCTTCAGCTCAGGAGTTTGAGACCACCCTGGGCAACATGGTGAAACCCCTGTCTCTACTAAGATACAAAAATTAGCCGGGTGTGGTGGCACATACCTGTAATCCCAGCTACTCTGGAGGCTGAGGCAGGAGAATTGCTTGAACCATGGAGGTGGAGGTTGTAGTGAACTGAGATCACACCACTGTACTCCAGCCTGGGCGACTGAGTGAGACTCTGTCTCCACAAAAACAAAACAAAACCAAGCAAACAATCAAAAAACTTCAAAGCACCCGGGAAAGGAAAAAAGATGCATTATATACACAGAAACAAAAATAAAAATCTAACAGATTTCTTGTTGGAAACAATGGTAAGTGAAAAAACAATGGTGCAGCATCTTTAAAGTATGGAATTCTATACGCAATGAAAATAGCTTTTAAAAATGCTGATGAAATAAAGACTTTTCAAACATACAGAAACTAAAAAACCTCATCAACAGCTGACTCTCATGCCAGTAAATATTAAAGAAAACTTCGGGCAGAAGGAAAATGATACCAGGTGGAAAGATGAATCTACTCAAAAGATTAAGGAGCACTAGAAATGCTGGTGGTGGTGGTTGTTTTTGAGACAGAGTCTGGCTCTGTCACCAGGCTAGAGTGCAGTGGCACAATCTCGGCTCACTGCAACCTCCATCTCCCGGGTTCAAGCGATTCTCTTGCTCCAGCCTCCCGAGTAGTTGAGACTACAGGTGCATGCCGCTATGCCCAGCTAATTTTTTGTATATTGTTAGTAGAGACGGGGTTTCACCAAGGATGGTCTCGATCTCCTGACCTCGTGATCTGCTTACCTTGGCCTCCCAAAGTGCTGGGATTACAGGCGTGAGCCACGGCACCCGACCAGAAATAGTAACATGAGTAAATATATTTGATTTTAGATTATTATTTGTCTCTTTAAAAGATAGGTAAGTGTTTAAATAAAGGTAATCACGATGTAGTCAGGAGTTTACGTTCCTTGTAAAGTTAAAATATAAGATAACAAGAGCACAAAGATCAGGAAGAGAGAAATGAAAGTATTCTATTGCAATTGTCTTATGTATTAAATGTCATATTAACAGTTAAAGGTAGACTTTGATAATTTGAAAATGTGTACTAAAGCAACCACTAAAATAGTTAAGAGTTATAGCTGATAAGTCAACAAGAAGGTAAATTATTTTAAAAACATTCAATTCATCCAAAAGAAGGCAGGGAAAGAGGAAAAGGTGGTTAAAGAACAAATGTCATAAATAGACAAAAAATTAATGAGAGTGTAGACTTAAACCTAACCATACCAATAAGATGTCAATGTTACGCCCTCTATGTAAGGGCAAATATGTAATTATATTGATAAACCAGTGACTCAATTGTGCTGCATATAAGAACCGCAATTCACAATTGAAAAAACATAGAACTAGCCCAAATGCCCATTGGTCAATGAGTGGATAAACAAATTGTGGTATAAATATGTCATGGAATGTTACTCAGCCATAAAAAGGAACAAAATCGTTGCATTCTCAGCAACCTGGATGAAATTGGAGACCATTATTCTAAGTGAAGTAACTCAAGAATGGAACACCAAACACTGTATGTTCTTACTCATAATGGGAGCTAAGCTATGAGGATGCAAAGGCATAAGAATGAGAAAGTGGACTTTGGAGACTCGGGGAAAGGGTGGGAGGAGGGTGAGAGGTAAAAGACTACACACTGGGGACAGTGTACACTACTTGGGTGATGGGTGCACCAAAATCTCAGAAATCACCACTGAAGAATTTATTCATGTAATCAAATACCACCTGTTCCCCAAAAGCCTATTAAAATAAAAAAAATAAATTGCGCTGCCTTAAGAAACACTTAAAATTTCTTATTAATAAATAATAATTATACATGTTGATAGAGTACATGTGACATTTTGATACGTGCATACAATGTGTAATGATAAAATCAGAGTATTTAAGATATCCATCACCTTGAACATTTATCATTTCTTTGTGTTGGGAACATTTCAAATCTAGCTATTTTGAAATATATATCGTTGTTAATTACGGTCACTTCACTGTGCTTTCGAATACGGGAACTTACTCCTTCTGTCTATGTTTGTAGCCACATTTAGTGATTTCTCTTCTCCCTTCCCCGCTCCCAGCCTCTGGTAAGTATCATTCTACTCTCACCTCATGAGATAAACATTTTAGCTCAGACATGTGACTGAGAAAAATGTAGCGGTAGTTGTCTTTCTGTGCCTCACTTATTTCACTTAACATCATGACCTTCAGATCCACCCCTGTTGCTGCAAATGACAGGATTTCATTCTTGTTTAACGGTGGACTAGTATTCCATTGTGAACATGGACCACATTTTAAAAATCCATTTATCTATTGATAAATTCTTAGGTTAATTCCATAATTGACTATTGTGAACAGTGCTGCAATAAACATGGGAAGCAGGTATCTCTTTAATATACTGATTTTCTTTCTTTTGGTTAAATATTCAATAATGCGATTGCTGGATTGCATGACAGTTCTATTTTTTTTTCTTTTTTAGCACCCTCCATGTTGTTTTCTATAATGGCTGTATAAATTTACATTCTGACTAACAGGGTATACGAGTTCCCTTTTCTCCACATCCTTGCAAGCATCTGTTATTTTTTGTCTTTTTGATAATAGCCATTCTAACTGTGGTAAGATAATATCTCATTATGGTTTTGATTTGTGTTTTCTTGATGATTCGTGATAGTGAGCCTTTTTTCATATATCTGTTGGCCACTTGTATGTCTTCTTTTGATAAATGTCTATTTGGATCCTTTGCCCACTTTATTATTATTATATAATAATATATAATAATAATATAAGCTGTCGGCATTCATCAATACTCTCAGATGTCTCTACCAACATAGGCTTTATCAGAAGCTTTTGTCTACTTTTTAATGGGATTATTTGTTTTCTTGCTGTTGAGTTGGGTTCCTTGTGTATTCTGGTTATTAGTCCCCTGCCAGAGAGTTTGCAAATATATATTTTTTCCATTTAGCAGGTTGTCTTTTCATTCTGCTGATTGTTTCCTTTTCTGTACAGAAGCTTTTTAGTTTAATATAGTCCCATTTGTCTGTGTTTTTGTTGCTTGTGCTTTTGAGATCTTAGCCATAAAATAGTTGTCTAGACCAAAGTTCCGAAGAATTTCTCCAGTGTTTTCTTCAGGTAGTTTTATAGTTTTGGGTTTTTTATTTAAGTCTTTAATCCATGTTGAGTTGGTTTTTGTGTGGTGAGAGATAGGGGTCTAGTTTCATTCTTCTGCATATGGATATCCAGTTTCCCCATCACCATTTATTGAAGAGGGTGTCCTTTCCCCAAAGAATGTTCTTGATTCTTTTTTCAGAAATTAATTGGCTGTAAATTGGTGAATATCTTTCTGGGTTTTCTGTTCTGCTCCATTGGTCTATATGTCAGTTTCCATGATGGTATCATGCTGATTTGGTTACTATAGCTTTGTAGTATATTTTGAAGTCAGGTAGTGTAATGCCTCCAGCTTTGTTCTTTTTGCTTGGGATTTCTTTGGTTATTTGGGGTCTTTTGTAGATTCGCATGAATTTTGGAAGTTTTTTCCTATTTCTGTGAAGAATGTCATTGGCATTTTGATGGAGATTGCATTGAATCTGTAGATTGCTTTGGAGTAGTACAGTCTCAAGATTACTTTTAACAATATCAGTTCTTACAATCCATGAGCATGGATGTCTTTCCATTTGTTTGTGTCCTTTTCAATTTCTTCATCAGTGTTTTATAGTTTTTCTTCTAGAGGTCTTTCATCTCTTGGTTAAATTTATTTCTAGCCATTTTCTTATCTTTTGTAGCTATTGTAAATGGGATTGCTTTCTTGATTTATTTTTCAGCTAGTATCTTATTATTGTATAGAAATACTACTGATATTTGTTTGTTGATTTTGTATCTTGTGACCTTACTGAATTCATTGATCAGTTCTAAGAGTTCTTTTGGTGGATTCTTGGTTTTTCTATATATAAGATCAAGTCATACAAAAAAAGAGACAATTTTGACCTTCTGTTTTCCAATCTAAATGCCTTTTATTTCTTTCTCTTGCTAGAGATTGTTCTGGCTGAAACTTTCAGTACTATGTTGAATATGAATAGTGAGAGTGCGCATTGTTATTGTGTTCCAGTTCTCAGAGGAAATTGTCTAGCCTTTTCTCCATTTGTTATGGTATTAGCTGGGTTTGTCACATATGGCTTTTATTATGTTTTATTATGTTTCTACTATGCCTAATTAGTTAAGAGTTTTTCTCATGAAAGAATGTTCAATTTTATCAGATGACTATATGGTTTTTATCTTCCATTCTATTTATGTGATGTGTCACAGTTATTGATTTGTGTATGTTGAACCATTCTGGCACTCCTGGGATAAATCCCCCTTGATCATATGTATTATTTTTTTGATGTGTTGTTGGTTTGCTAGTATTTTGTTTGCTGTATTTTGTTGAGAACTTTTGCATCTACGTTCAATAGGGATATTGATCTATAAGTTTCTTTTTTTGTTGTGTTCTTGTTTGGTTTCAGTATCAGGGTAATGATGGTTTCATAGAATGAGTTAGGAAGAATTCCTTTCTCTTTAATTTTTTGGAATAATTTGGGAAAAATTGGTGTTAGTTCTTCCTTATAAGTTTGGTAGAATTCATCAGTAAAGTCATCTGGTCCTGAATTTTTGTTGTTGGGGGACTTTTTATTACTCATTCAATCTCATACTCATTATTGGTCTGTTCAAATTTCCTATTTCTTACTTGTTCAATCGTGGTAGATTGTACGTATCCAGGGATTCGTCATTTTCCTCTAGGTTTTCTAATTTGCTAGCATATCGTTGTTGATAAGAGTATCTAATAATTTGTTGTATTTCTGTGGTATCAGGAGTAATACCTCCTCTATCATTTCTGAGTTTATTTAGTTGTGTCTTTTCTCTTTTTTTGTTAGTCAGTTAGCAGTTTATTGACTTTATTTATCTCCAGAAAACTGTTCAATTCATTGATCCTTTGTAATTTTTTTAGTCTTTATTTCATTTACTTCTGCTCTGATCTTTATTATTCCTTTCTTTCTACTAATTTGGGGTTTGGTTTGTTCTTGCTTTTCTAGTTCCTTGAGGTGCATCACTAGGTTGTTTCTTTGAAATCTTTCTGCTTTTTTGACATAGGCATTTTTTGCTATAAACTTCCCTCTTAGCATTGCTTGTACTGTATTCCACAGATTTTAGTATGTTGTATTTTTACTTTCGTTTATTTCAAGAATTTTTAAATCTCCTTCTCAATTTCTTCCTTGATCCAATGGCCATTCAGGAGCATGTTATTTAATTCCATGTATTTCTAAATTCCCTTTTATTATTGATTTCTAGTTTTTTATTCCATTGTGATCTGAAAAGATACTTGATAAGATTCTGATGCTTAAAATTTGCTGAGACTCATTTTTGTGGCCTAACATATGGTCTATCCTGGAGTGTTCCAGGTGCAGATGAGAAGAATGTGTATTCTGTGGCTGTTTGGTGAAATGTTCTGTAAATGTCTGTGTTCTAAAGTGCAGTTTAAATCCAATGTTTCTTTGCTGATCTTCTGTCTAGGTGATCTGTCCAATGCTGAGAGTGGGATGTTGAAGTCCCCATCTATTATTGTATTGGAGTCTGTCTCTCCAGTAGGGTCAGTGGTGGTTAGAGCAGATTCATCTCCAAGTTCCCTGACTGTGCTAGCAGGGAGTGATGTCAGGTGGGGCACACCTGTCCTGAGGCCTGCTGATGGTGCACATAAGCACCCAAAGTGGCAAGCAACACTAGCTGATCTGCAGGTCCCTAGATGGTGTGGTCATGGTGGTGGTAGTGGTGAGGACAGGCTTGTCCCCAGGCCCCAGGAAGGCTCCCAGACAGACCAATCTCCAAGCCTGGTGAAAGCACATGCATGTGCAAAGTGTCTGTGTCTGGGGATGCAGGGTTGCTGTCAGTGGTAGCAGCTCCAGGCAGGTGGCTTTCAGGCCCTGGGGAGTGCATGCTTCAGCTCCCTTTGTCCTGGAGGCAGCTTCCCAGGTGCATTGCACTGCCATTCCCTGGGCTGTAGGACATTGCATGGGCTAGAGTGCTGGGCACCTGGTTGCAATGCCGGGCCCAGCCATCCTACTTGGTGGACATGAGGTGATATCAGTGGAGTTCTATGGATATGGAAATGCAACGTCTGTTGGGCCTCAGGGCAGGATATAGTCTGGTGGGTCCTGGGCTCTTAAAATGGCTGTGTGCTACAGCTGCTTGTGTCTGAGGAGTGTGTGGGGTCCAGCATGAAATACATCTCTGAAGCAATTTCATGATATGAACTCTAGGCAGCTTCATATACTAGTCTCAGGGCCCATGAGGGCTGAGGAGCTCTCCTGTAGCTAGGATTGCAAAAGTCTGTGGGAATGTGGAGAGGTGGGGATCCTTTGCTCACCTTTTCCCTGCACTGGGGAGTTTCTTCTGACACAGAGCTGGTTCCAATCCTGGCCAGGCCAGATGCTTAGCTTCCGTCTCCTTCCCTGCCTCAGAGATTCCCTGGGTGCCTCCAGGTAGCCATCTTGAAGTCCCTCCACTCAGGACTGTGTATAAACACATTTTAAATATAAAGACTCAAGAGGGTTAAAAGTAAAAGGATGAAAAAGACATACCAAGCTAATGCTAATCAAAAGAAAGCTAGGGAGCTTTTTGTAATGTCAAATATGGTAGATAGCATAGAATATTGCCAGGTATGAAAAAAGTAATTTTATAATAATAAAGGGTCAGTTTATTAGGAGCAAATAAAAGCCCTAAATGTTTATGCATCTAATAACAGAGTTTCAAAATAATTGATGTAAAAACTGATAGAACTGCAAGAAAAAATAGATATATCCGTGACTTTAGTTGGAGATTTTAATAACCCTCTCTGAATAATTGACAGAATCAGTAGAGAGAAAATCAGTAAGGATATAGATGATTTAAATAACACTATCAATCAATGTGGCTTAATTGATATTCATAGTATCCTTTACCAACCTACAGCAGAATATACATTCTTTTCACCTGCAATGGAATTTTTACCAAGATAGACAGTATTATGAACCATAAAGCCAGTCACAATGAATTTATAAAAATTCAAATGATGTAAAGTAAGGGAATTAAATGATCAACAACAGAAAGGTTTCTGTAAGAGTCTCCAAGATTTGACAATTAAATAATGTACTTCTAAAAGAACTATGGGTCAAAGAAGAAATCAAAAGAGAAACTAGAAAATATCTTGAACTGAATGAAAATGAGTACAGCATATTAAAATCTCTGGGATGGCACATTGTTGGGGGAAATTTATAGAACAATAGGGGCATATTAGAAAAGAAGAAAGATGGAAGGATCTCTAAACAACAACCTCATCTTCCATCATAAGAAAGGTGAAGATTGAAATCTAAAGCAAGTAAAAGGAAGGAAACAAGAAAAATCAGAATAGGAATAGATAAAATTGCAAACAGAAAAACAATAAACAAGTAATCAAAAGTTGATTCTTTGAGATCGATAAAATTTATAAAACTCCAATCCAGGCCAGGCACGGTGGCTCATGCCTGTAATCCCAGTATTTTGGGAGACTGAGATGGGCAGATCACGAGGTCAGAGATTGAGACCATCCTGGCCAACAGGGTAAAACCCCTTCTCTACTAAAAATACAAAAAAAATTAGCTGAGTGTGGTGGCGCATGCCTGTAATTCCAGCTACTCGGGAGGCTGAGGCAGGAGAATTGCTTGAACCAGAGAGTTGGAGGTTGCAGTGAGCTGAGATTGCACCACTGCACTCCAGCCTGAGGGCAGAAGGAGGCTCCATCTCAAAAAACAAACAAACAAAACACTCCAATCCAGACTGATAAGAAAAAAACAGAGAAGACACAAATGAC